CTGAAGTAGAGTTCTTTCCAAAAGTATGTGGACACCTGAATATTACATGCATACTGATGGACGTCTTTCCAAAACCATGTGTGTTTTTAATTGTTTCATGTGTATTTAAGCTCCAGTTATGCAATCCATCCATCCATCCATCCATCCATTTTCTATACAGCGCTTAATCCTCACTACGGTCATGGGGGGCTGGAGTCTATCCCAGCCGACTTAGGGTGAAGGCAGGTTCACCTGGACAGGTCACCAGTCTATCACAGGGCTACACTTAGAGACAGACAACCAAGCACACTCACATTCACACCTGTGGACAATTTAGAATCACCAATTAACCTCAACATGTTTTTGGACCTTGTGGGAGGAAGCCGGAGAACCCGGAGAGAACCCACGCTGCACGGGGAGAACATGCAAACTCCACGCAGAAAGATTCCAGTGCCCCCACCGGGACGCGAACCGGCGACCTTCTTGCTGCGAGGCAACAGTGATACCAACTGCACCACCTTGCAGCCCACCCAGTTATGCAATGTATAATGAAATTCCTTGTATACAAATAACAGGGTGACATGGACAGAAATATAACAATATAAATAGGTAGTGCGGACAGATATTTACAGAAATACAATATGTAGTGCAAAGTGACATTAGCAGCATCTCAGCTACAAAACTGGTTTCAGGTAGCACATACAGGACCTCACTGAGCTTGCCTGCTAAACTGAGTTAAACTGAGTTGACATTACGATCCCTAACATCTTTTTCATTATCAAAACTTCTTTCTTTTCTTAGGTCACATCAAGTTACTCTTTTCATGTTTACTTTCATTAATCATGATAGTGTTTTTTTTTTTTTTTTTAAAGTGCATTTCTTTTGTATAAACCGCACAGTAACAAATATTACAAGATTACAAAGTGTTCAGTGCCTTTACTTCTGTAAGACAGAAACACCACACTGTAAAAACACTATGCTGTGAATAAAGCTGCTGCACTGACATGATACATGATACAATTTTACTTAGTAATTAAAGTACTCGGTGCAGAGGAGCGTCCCGTGTGACTGATGTGCTGACATCTGTGACGACACGATTAGTCACAAGTAGATCAGATTAAAATGATGCTTAATGTCTTGATGAAATCCCTTGTTTGCTTAGTAAAACAAACAAACAAACAAACAAACATACAAACAAACAAACAGCCAATTGTCTGAAATTCACATTTGAGTGGCTGGAAACATGAAATATTTGGCAGCTCTAAATGAAAAACAGTCATTTTAATCTCACTCTGTAAAGTAACTGAAGCTGTCAGATGAATGCAGGAAGACAAAAGTACAGCACATACCTCTGAGTCATACTGGAACAGAAGTGCAGCGCTCCAGTGAAGACGCTTGAAAACAAGATGAGGTTTTTCCTAAAAACCACAACATTTGCATTGTGGTGAAATCAGTCCGTGATGTAACTCGCGCTCGGTTTCAGTTGATCTGAAACGTCACCAGATGAGACAAAACAAACGTCTTTAACACAAAACTGTACATTTCTTACATTTTCACCTTTATTTTCTTGTAAAATACCAAACAGTCTTAGCCTTAAAATTTAATCTGATATAAAAGGAAAACAAAAATAATCATTTGATAGACAACTAGCGTTGAAGTTATGTCTAAGTAATACTTAATATAAAACTATCTGCTTGTGAAAATATACATATTTTTAGCTCAACCTCTAAAAATGAATAAACTGAAGAGAGGAAATTGCTTTTTGTGTGCATAAATTAATGCTGTAGACGCTAAATCAACAGCGTCTACCTACGTTTGGCCATATATCACAGCACAGATTGGTAAAAATAGAGATAATACTCGACTGAATTCATAAAAATCATATATGTTGAATATATTCGCATAAAACAAAAAAGGATTCCAGTCAGTTTTGTGGTGAGTGGTGGAACATCAGAGTCGTGTCTGACTGTGTGGGTGCAGAAAATAAAAAAATAAAAGACTGACTCTGATCCAACATTCAGAAAATCCCACGTCATTGGCATTCATGAGCGCACAGGCAGAGTTTAAGGTAACTCCGTCTGGATTGCAATGTCAGCACACTGTATGCAAATAGGAGCCTGAGCCGGGGGGACAGTTAATGCAAATTAAGCACATTTGCAACACAGCGCCGGACCCACATCTCCTGTTGGCCACTCCACACTTGGAAATGCTCCAGTTCACACTTGGAAACAAAGAGTTCTCCTTTTGGATCGTAGAATATCGTCCGCATTTGTTTCACGCCCAGAACGTTCAGAAGTGTTTTTTCACATCACAGCCTGCAGGCGAGATTAGCTCGTGGTTTCTACTCTGGTTTCAGTTGCTTTTGGCTCTGATTGTCGCTCTGAACTGCCTCTTTCAGTGTTTCTGCCTTTTTATTTTACACATGTCGGCTGTAAACAAAAGTATATCTGATATTTGGCATTAATAACAAACTTTCATTTATTTCTGTCACTGAGTATCGTGCATATTTTCCTGATTTGAATAATAATATTTTTTGTGTGTGTATTTATGAACACAAATAAAATGTTTCACATCATACAAGTCAATGCTAAAAGAAAAAACAGCAATGTTTCAGGTCTGTGTTATTTACCAATCTACGGAGTCCACTGAGAATGTATCGAGTAAATAAACACGAAAATGACAAATGAAGGATGAGCAGTTCAATAAAGAATATCCCTGAAGGTACATTTACATTGTGTATTAATAAATGAAACATGAAACACGATCAATGTCTCACAATAACCCAAAAAATCAATACGACTGTCTCTGAAATGCTCTGCAGCAAACTTGACTATAAAACGCAGCAGTCTTGCTTTGTAGACTCATATAACTCGGACCTTATAGTGGTGTAAGTGATTAATTGTGAAATTTAAATTTAAATCTGGATCTAAAGATGTAAATCTAATAGCAAATACTAAGAATAAGGCCTTTTGTTGAACCAAACAAAGGCTTAACATCATTTTTATTTGCCACTTCAGGTGAAAAATAAACATTTTTAGGGGACATGTCTAGTTACAGTGTAGCTCCGCATTTGCTCTAAACGTTTTGCTGTGTTTTAATAATTTATTGTACATGTGTGGTGTGTCAGCTTAACAACTGCATTGTCATCAAAAATTCATTAGCTCGTCACACCATGCTAACAATACTTAGCTTAAAGTTAGCTAACAGCTGACGGCATATGACGCTTTTCAACGCCAAGAAAAGAACCATCGAGGTACCGGTGCTGTTTTAGAGTCATGTCAGAGCTTTAAGACACATATTTCCCTAACAAGAGTTTAAATAAGTGAACTTATGAGGAGCTAGTCGATGATTTGTTTTGCTAGCAAATCTGTTGACGGCTAGTTAGCGTGCTAGCTCTTGTAAATCCTTCACTTTGGCAATAGGTATTCGCATAAACCGCGGATAAAATAAGTACGATTGAGCCAGTCAAACAACAAATAAGCCTGTGTACATGACGGGTACAATAAATACTTTTCGTTGATAAAAAAAAAACAAAACAGTAACTAGCAATTGACCATGTGAATAACATGACAAGGGAGACGACATTTCCCGTAACACCACACCGGAAACGTCACCACATTACGTACCTTAACATCCGGGTCATTCGTCAAAAGTCTGATGCAAGTTCCAACAGTGTGCTGCAACAAACACAACAACCCCCCAACAGACGGACACACAACCGGGCTACAGCTGATGATCACACAGATGACAACGTGTTGGATGAAGTCCAACACATGGGACAGGAAGAAAAGAGCCAAACAAGCATTTTTAATCACATATTTTAGGAGTTTGTACATCTTATTTGGATAAATCACAAATACCCACTAACTGTTTGGTAAAGTTGAGAACACCGGGCCTCCAAAAATGAAACAGCTGTGACTTAATTGATTTTTTTTCTTCTAAAATAAGCAATAAATAATTCATCATCAATAACAATTAAAGCCACCACACACACACGCCTAACGCCATCTGTGATTTAGAATTTTAATTTAATTATATTTATTTCCATAACTTTTTAATTGTCCTTCAACTTTTGCATTCACAGAGATCACTGCTTTATTTAGTTTCTTGTGCCATCTAGTGGCCGAAGAGAGGAAACAGTGTACTGGTATTACTCTTTAAAAGTGTTGTGATAAAGTCAGTAAATGCAGGTGAATAATAATCGGTGTGTTCAGAATAACAACAAAAGGCCACTTAAAACAAAACAAGATCAATCTGTCTCTGAGAACTCAGGGGTTTAACGATCTGAGTGAATATTCTCTACAGGTATTGATGGATGATGCTGATATTTCTGGCAGCCTGTTGTTTTTTGGTCAAACAATAAGGCCTTTATTCATTTACACAAATGTATACTTGTTGTTTATTCACTTTTACCAGTACTGGTAACAATTTCAATTGTTCAGTCATTCTATTGATTAGAATTTCCACCGTTTGTGCATAAATTTAACAAGTTTTTATCCATAATTTTAGCAAGCAGTTTCCCATTTTTTTATCAATACTTTTAATAGTTCCAAATGATCATCCACATCATTAGCTAGCAATTTTAACTGTGACTCGTACTTCTATTTCAATCTATTTTTCACTAGTAATGATCTATTTCAATCATTTATGCGTCACTTTTGGCCCTTTGTTTTCACAACTTACCCATTATTTTTAATTATCTTTTACTTTTCCTCATCAAACTTGTCTAGGTCCACTGAATTCTTTAAATAAATTGTGTATAATTATTTTTTTCTTGTATGTATCACCCTCTGGCTGCTGCAGAGTTACCACCTGGGACAGTTGGTTGGGAATCACTGACATAAGAAACGTCAGTATGATTCACTCAGTAACTCAGTAAATTCTGCACCCTGGAAATGTTTCACCTCATTTCTGTGTCGGTTGTTGTCTCATGCACACTTACATTTGCCCTCCCGATGGTTGCTAATCTTCAGTGAAAAGGCCTTGACAAGTAAAACTAAAGAAATATGACAAACAAGCCCTTTTAAATGCCACTCGTTTTATTTCATTATAGAAAAACAACATCTTGTCGCAATAAAACTGTCGACTCTCAAAGCACGGGGAGGGTAAATAAATTATTCAATCCATTTACAAACATCGTAACTTTACAATCACAGTGCTCTTTGATGAACTGCATGAGCTGACAGATGATCGGATTCCCTACGTGTTATAAAAACAAGAATTATTGCAGTCGGAAAAATAACAAAGACAACGTTTAGACGGTGAAATGAGCTCATATATACGATTAAAAAAATGCTACAAATTCACTCAGAACAGAGTCGTGGCATAAGAAAGTGTTTAAATGCTGGCAGTCCAAGGTGCTTTAAGTCCAGTGAATGGATGAGTTATTTTTGCTGTTATCAAAAATAAGGCATTTGGTGCATTTCTGTGGGTGAAAAGTGCCTCCGTAGGTGTGAATAAAAGTGCTCAGAGAACAAGAACAAAAGCAGCTGAAGGCCATTTGGTGTCGTGAAAGTTTCTTCATAAAACCTAAGATCCCCCCTCCTCCCAAAAAAACAAAAGAAAGGCCTGAAAACACACCGAACACAACTAAACGTACAATAAAACATATGCTGGCTTGTTTTGGTTTCACCTGAGGAACTGTATGCGTTCAATACTGCAAAATCTCACTGTTTATGATGGAAACATGAGCTAAACACAAAGAGTTGCTTTTTGTCTTCGGTAAACGTATTTCCTGATTGTTGAAGGCAGTCTATCTGGAAGTAGCGACAACATCTTCACATTCTGTATATTTTTTTTTGCATTAAAAATGTTAAAATCGTTGGTCTCTTGCAGTGAAAACCACGTGCAGCAACAGAGAAGCTAAAAAAAGTACCATTTGGCTGTGTAAACTCTTCTATTAAAAAACTAAGGAACTGTTATTGTTGCTGTGTTGGCAGCCTGAAGCGGTTGTACACCATTTGAACTTTGTAATTTCAAACAATATCAGAATTCAAAAGGGTGAAACGTGTATAAATGACATTTTGACGTATAAAACTGGTCTACAATGTCTTATTGGTGACTGGAATTATTGTAAAAACAAGTGCAGAATCTCACCTGAGTAGAAACTCTCTCCAAGACGACAAACAGTTTTACATGTTAATGGATAAAAACACTGCAGACACGTGAGGGAAACCAGCGTTTTCTGCTGTTCTGGTCCCGTTCCGTAAATGTTCATAACTCTTCATGTGTGAATACTGCATCAATTAAAAAAAATCTAAGTCAATTTTCAGAGGTAGAAGTCTAAAAATGTGTCTCCACGTAAATCCACGTTGCGTCGGCTACCACTGCTCCTGTGCCTCTTCAGCTGCTGTCTGATTGTGAGCTCCTCCTCCTCCTCCTCCTCTCGCCTTCTGGTTTCTCCTCCTCAGCTACGGCCCACGGTTGGATCTTCCCGCTGCCGAATATCATGTAGACGAGGGCACCGCTGGCGTTGATCCCTGCAGCGACCCAGAACACATTTCTCCAGCCCTCCAGGGTGTGCTGACAACCACAGAAGAAGAATGAGTCTGTGTGTCGATCATGATATTCTGACTGTTTCTGGACATGTTGATAAAAGGAAAACTGATACGAAAGTTTGATGTGTTTATCTGAAAGTAATGAAAACTAGAGATCGACCAGTTATCGGATCAGATGTTCAGCATTTTTCAGAATATTACTGGTATTTTTTCTTTATTTCAAACAGATACTTGATAAAATAAATTAGTTTGAAAATGAAATATTTTGGCTCCGTCCAGCCCAGAGCACCATCTGATTGGTCTCACGTCATCAGTGATAGCAAATCCACACTGAAGGATAAATATTGAAAACTTCTCTTTTAATTAAAAATGTAAAACACAAACAAACATCAGAATTGTACCAAACTTTGTGTTGGAGTTTGTGTAATTCAAATTTTGACGCCAGGGTTTTAATTCTTCTCCTTCGTTAATAACAATAATCAGCATCAGCTCTGGAAAAACTAACAAATCAGTCGACCAGTAATGAAAACCTCCTAAAATAAAGGAGGAGAGGACATACCTGTATTATACTAACAAACGTATTAACAGCTTTTGGAATTAAGGAAAAGTCAAAGTCTTTGAGTGTCCACTCAAAATAAATTAAATCCTTCATTTTTTCTGGATATCAATGTACAAATTCAACAAAACTGAAGCTGAGCATTTAGTTAAGTTTCATTTTTAATCCTAAAACGAACCTGGAGCCGATGGACAGAAGCCAAAACAGCTGTTAGGTGATGTCGTCAGCTAAAACCAGTAAAAGAGAGCGATTTTGTTTATGCCAGCAAAGACTGAGCTACAGTCAGTCGAGCCTGAAGAAAATAAATGTATTTTTTCGAGAGTTTTAGTTCAAGAAAAATCAAGTGTGACGCGTGCAGCTGTCTGTGTCCCGAACACGATGGACAATCATCTGGGTTTTGTGGACAAGATGCAAGTAAAATACCAAAAACGCCGCTAAAATAAATTAATGAAAAACACTTCTTAAGCTTCATTTTAGAAGAATTACTGTGTTTTTTTTTGCAGTCAAATCAAACCAATCCAAACTCACCTTTTCAGTAAAGTATCCGGTCACAATCGGCGCCACGACGCCTGGAATGGTCCCGAATGTGTTGGTGATCCCCAGAAGGAATCCTGCGTACCTGCACAAGGAGGAAAGAAAGTTCTTAAAAACATAAAGACGATAAAAGAACTGAGCTCCTCCTGTTTGTTCTGTTACATCGACTCCAGTAGAAACCCTTTTACTGACGGTCTGAGGTTCTGTACGACCTGGACAACGCAGAATCTACAGACGTGCTTCATTAAATGCTATTTTTCATCGTCAGAATCTTTAGTAGAGCTAAAAGAATGAGCTAATCAACCAGCTTCTTCATGGGCTCTGATAATCTGTGTATCACTCAAGTTATTTGGAAAGAAAACTCTGATTTCAGCTTCTCAGAGCGAATCATTTCTTTGAACCGTTTAGTATCTTGAACTGCTGCTCAGACAAAAACGAGACTTTTGTGATTCTGGAAACTGAAATGTTTCACTGCTTTAAATGAATAATGAAAAACGTAAATCAAGATTTTTATAGACGTCTGCATTACTGATTTTGTTCTTTCATACTTTGCAGGATTCTGGTTTTAGAGAGCAGATGTAAACAACTCGTGTGTTGACGCATCTTCTTCTGCTTAGAAGACTGTCGCGACTGGCGTAGAAAGTTCTGGTTGATGTATGAAGAGGTGAATATAAAGATGGATTGTGAGGAAAAATAGAGGTGAGGAATGAAAGATGTTTGAAAAGCAAGGAAAGTGATAAAGGTGATAAAGTACGTTGGCTGGCTTCTTAGTGACACATTTGAACATTCTTACTGTCGAATCAAAAAGCAGTGACCTTAGTTTTTTGTTTTTTCAGTATTGGGTATTCAGCCTAACTCAGGAGTGGGAAAATGAGGGTTAGTCTTACGAAAACTCTCCCAGCCCCGACTCTTTTCAGCCTTATGACCTTTCCAAAGTCAGCTGACCATAGGTTTGTAGGACTGTAGCAGTAGCTGGGCTCTCCTGTATTTAGCTCACGTTTGTTTTTCAGAGAAGGTTTGGGTCAAACAGGGCAAAGCAGGAGGAAGACGTTTACCCTTACTCTCATCTTTTGCGCACACATGAAAGTTTTTTGAATGACAGCTTTTAAGTCCTGAAGAAGGTGAAATTGTGGATTCTGATGATTTTCCTGTTGCATTTCGTTGCATAACTTCACTGCAAATGTAAGTTTCAGCTGGTTTTCCTGGTATTTCTGACAAAACATAAAAATGAGAGCCTTTTTCAATAAACCTGCAGAGTGACGCGGTTTTTATTTTTATTCTAAAGCACACGCTGGTATTGTCAGTAGCTTTATAATCTCAAGAAAACATATAAAATGATCTTACTTCTCCTGTGCCGTTTAATGTAATTCAATGCTTCTGCCTATGATAAAACAGTTTCAACTCAAGCCTGCAAGAATTCTTCTGGTGGTAAAAGTTTGCATCCAAGTTGTCATGAAGCTCGACTATTGTGAACATTTCATTGAGGGGCGTCCAGGTGGAACGCTGCAGATTTGCAGTTATCTTGTTTTGCATACTACACACTATATTTGGACCAGCTGCTGGTATGGCAGGTGGTTTCAAACCCAGTTCTGACGCTGACACCCACCGAGGAGCGATGTCTATCTGGTTGATGTAGACCCCGGGGGCGCTGGTTCCTCCGGCGGTGGTGGAAAGCGTGAGGAAGGTGACGGTGAGGATGTGGCTGCAGCCGGCGTAACCCACGGCGACGAGGAAAGCTGCCGGCAGCATCAGACCTGCAGCGAGACGAGGAGGTGAAGACAGGAGGCAAGCTTTAGGGAACTAGAAATACTGACTCAGTTTGTGTTTTCAAATATTTAGCTGTAAAACCGAATAAGACAGAAAACACACAGTCAGCACAACAGCTAATCTGTTCACCAAGTATAAAACTAAACCACACGGGGGCAGCACCACTCCTCCAAAACTGTACGATGCAGATATTGGTTTTGGTTAAAGGCTCCTTCCACATGAAATCAAGCAAATCTGAATACATGTTCCCACCTAAACCTCTCAGAATCAGCTGTTTAGTTTAGATTCTATGACTTAGAGTCACAGAATCAAGCATCGGTAGGCGTCACGTCTGGAAGGTGATCCTGGGAGCAAATGCAGGTAAAAATGAGACGTTTCATTTCCTTTAACTTGTTGATATGAGCCTTGAAAGTTCACCCAAATGCACTTTGTAAAGTTTTCTCTGGTGAATTATCAGGAAACACATCCAGGGTACACAATGATTGTTTGTATGACTCTGTGTCATAGACATTAAACTGCTGCAATCTGACATCCCATAATACTGACGCTGAAAGTTGGTTATAGAAGAAAGTAGAGCTGAACAAAAATTGTATTTCATTTTTTGTTCTCAGTCTCTCTTGTTGTTTCCTCTCTGCTCTCAGAAACACATCCTGCAGTTCAGCCGAAGATTCTGACTTTTTGTCACCAGACTGTCGCTGACAGTGGGTTCTCAGTTGCACGAGGAGCAAAGAAATGTAGATTATTCAGAAAAACTTAAGGCTATTTGTTCTCAGATTTGGAATAAGACACACAGACTCGTGTAATGTCGATAAAATGCGACACTTTTAAGCTTGTTTTTGGTTATTTTTCTTGGTGGAACCGTTCAACACACGTGATGAAAATCTGACATCTCTGTCTTTATCATTTCGTACTATAATAAATGGTGCATTGATCAAAAAAGAAAAAGAAAAAAGAAAAGACAACATGCCTTTCAAACCCGCTGGCAGCTTTTGGGGTTCAGAGGGTTTAACTGACAGTGACGGTTTTTATTTTAAATTTAATGTGCTGGAAAACTAAACAGACGCCTGTGCTAGAAATTAAGATCTCAGATTCTTTTCACGTCCCAGAATGACTCCTTCAGCCTGCATCATTTAAACATTGAAGTGGTTTTATTTAGCAAACGCACACAGGACGCGAGAGGGGAAGCTGTCTGACCTGTGGTGGTGAAGATCTTTCGTACGACGGTGACGCTGAACACTCTCCTCTCGATCAGAGCGTCCGCAGCGACACCCGACAGCGTGGAGGCCAGCCAGGCGCCGAGGTACGGCAGGGCGGACAGGAACGAGTTCTGATGCAAACAGGAAGAGAGAAAAGTCCAGATGTGTCCTTCTGTAGTCGTACATTCTTCTTTAGAGCACAGTGGTGCTTCAACATCTTTAGAATTTTCTATATTTCTGCGTAAAAAATAACCTAAAACATCACCAGAGAACAAAATTACACAAATGGGACAAAAATACTTAATCGTTCATTAATTGAGGAAAATAATCTAATATTAGACGTCTGACAGCTGTTTTTTTCCTTCTTTAATGGGAGGGTATGAGTACATCTGAGGACGACTGTATAGAAGGTTAATCTTCAAAACGTGTATATCTACAGTCAGGAAATTGTAGGGCTCAGATGCATTTAACTAGTTCTGCAAATCAACACCTTCTTCATTAGTTCATGAGTTAAATATTCAGTTAATAAAATGTCAGATTGGGGTGAAAAAAAGTGTAATTGTGATTCCCCAAAGCCTGAGGTGAGCTGGTCAAACAACACGCATTTAAAATGTTTTCATTTCACTCTTTAAAACTGAGAAAAGCAGCAAATTGTCCCATTTGAGAAGCTGCAGTTAAACATAAACTGAAATCCAAACCAAAGCTCCTAAACCGATGCCGGTGCTCTGACAGCGTTCGCATGAAACAGAAGAACAGAATGAAGGCTCACCGACTGCAGGTCAAAGTGCAGGATGGTGTCCATGTACGTGGGCAGGGAGGTGAGCAGGGTGTAGTAGGACCAGTTTGAACACATCTGGGTGACGATTATGGTCCACAGAGGGACGGACAGCAGCATGGACAGCACGGGGACGGACCAGCCGTGACCTGTGCCCTGAAATCGCAGAAAAACTTCACAAAAGCTGCACAGAATCCACTGCACAATACCTATTTAGCAAAGAACTGCTGAGTTTAGGATATAGGAGAATAAAAACAAACGTGTTAGCAGCAGTGCTGGATCACGGAGACTGTCTGAGTATAAACAGACAGAAAGTGAGAAAGGAGCGAAAACACTGAAGGAAATGGAAAACAGGAAGTCTGATAAGGGAACTGCAGCAGGACACTGTGGCCAAGAGCTGCTCAAAGGGAATCTAAAGGAAACTTTGGATTTGTTGGGTTTCTCTGTACAACTGATGATGTGAAGCGCATTGAATGTTGTGAATTGGTGCTGAATCAAACTGAAGATTAATGGATCATTCCTTCTCAAACCATCAGATTTTTAGATCTGCTCAGCTGCCTGAAACGCTTAAAGCATAAAATAGAGATATTTGTGAAATTTTAATTTCAATTTATCTACTAATATTTTTGCTTTTGTGGTACAACTTGACATGTCTGCTCAATCAGTTATGAAGCATTTTGTATTTAAAGTATTCTCTATGCTTAGTGTTGTATTCCTGTGACCTGTAGCTACAAGTGGTTCAGAAAATATCACTAGTTGACTTCTGCATCATCATTTTTTTGTTAACGTGCTCAAAAATGGGACTTTTAATGACGACTTCAGTTTTTTTTAATATATATTTCTACTCACCCATA